ATCTGGGTCGGGGAACGGTTCCCCTGTGCGCCCCCCCCCCCCGTTACTGCGGGTGGCCCTCCCCGCACCCCCTCTGCCCCAGCTCACCTCCACTCCACCTCCTCGCCTGAGCGGGCTTTTAGGCGCCCTCAACCCTAGGCAGCCACCTAGTTCTCCTAATGGTTGCACCAGCCCTGGTCTAGGGACAGTTCCTCCTCTGATATATTTCACCAGAACTCCTTGCCCCAGAAGTCAATGCAACTGCTGGTATTTCTGGTCTCTGTGATTTCCCAGAATGCTGCATTTCATGGTGTTACTAGAGAACCAGGAGCAGCCAAGCCTTCACAGTGGCTTAAAATAATTTTGAAGAAGGCTAGTTAAAGCTTATTTATCTGCTGGATGCCCAGGGAGCATGTTAACAGTGGGCTGATACTTGAAACGATTCAAAATCATTGAAGTATGAAACTCCATGCTACGAAGAAACTTAGCTCCAGTCAGCCTCCCTGCTCCTAGGCCATTTAGAACGAGTTAGATACATTTATCTGGATCCTGACAGGTCTTGGAATAACCCTGGACATCTCTAGTTTGGAATGTTTACTATTGGTTCACAATATCTCCCTGCCCCAGTTACCTTGTCCTTGTCTGGTGTAGGAGTATTTTCTGCAGCACTGTTCCTGTGGAGCTGCCAGCATCTTGCTCAACTCGTACCAGGAGGTGAAGACATTTTTTACTGGGAGGAGCAGACCACACAGTCTCTTGGTTCAGAGTGGAAACCAGTCCGACCTTTCAATCATCCCAGAAAGAGGTGGGTTTCAGTATTGTTGTTGATGTCTCGTGGCCCTGATTCACTCCCACCCTGCAACTTGTGTTATCATCTACACCTGTGCCAAGTGGGGGTAAAATGCTGCTAAATCAGGTGGCTAGCGTTTCACACTGCTTTGCACTGCTTTTGCACAGGTGTAAATGACTGCACAAGACAATAGAGAATCAGGCCCAAAGGGCTCACTCCTGCCTTCATGCTCAAGTGGTATAATCTGAAGTTTATGGAAGTTGGAGGTCCCTGAATCTGTGGCTTTATTTTCACTAGGCAAAATGGTGTAATTTTTACCTGTGTTATCCCACGTTAAAATCCTAGTGCAGTGCTTCCCAAACTTTTTACTGCCACGGACCCCTTTGGCAATTTGGCATCTAACTTATTGGCCCAGACTCCCTTCAATTTTTATACACAAGTTTCATGTTACTATTATTCTATTAGTCACTATCTGTACTTCTGTTTTTCTTAAATGGGGACATTACTTTCCTATCTTGTAGAAGTGTTGTGAGTCTTGATACCTTCTAACCCCTCACAGAGAGGGTGTAGTCTCAAATAGGCAAGTTCTGGTACTACCCAAATGGCCCTGCCAGTGTGGAAATACCCTTGCCAGCTTGACCTCTTATATCCAGTACATGAGAAGTCACACTGAATGTAGGATGTCATTTTGAGAATAAAATGGAGCCTTCAGGGGGCAAAAGTGCCAGAACACTGTTCAGATGTGTTCTGTCCCTGGCTTGAGGGACAGACCCCAGCATAACCCACCGCAGATCCCCAGAGGCCAGGCACCCCACTTTGGGAACCATTCTCCTAGTGTACACAAGGCCTGGTGTAGTTTTACCATATTAGCTGGTTGGGGTAAATCCTATGGGGTAACCTAGGGTGTTACCTTGACCAGCTAACATGTTTTAAAACTACAATTGCCTTGTCTACACTAGGATTTTAATATGGGTTAGCTAACATGTAGACATGGTGAGAGGAGCTAAGGGAAGTGCACTCACTAAACTGTCCTTTCAAGGAATCCAACATTCCTTAGCCCGTGTGTTAGGATAGTTCTTCATTGGCAACTTAAGATACCCAAAACAAGATGTGATTTGACCTAATGTGGGAAGCCTTAGCCCCTTGCCCCAGTTACGAGCATCCTACCATCTCAAACAGGCACAGAGCACATCCTAGCTGAGGCAGAGCTAAGCCCTATCTGTGCAGTTTGGATTCCAATGCAAACTTTCCCACAGGTTTGGAGGGACTGGGCTCAGCCTGTTATGAAAAAGACAGTCAGCTGGGAAGTTTAGATACATAGGAGGATCTGAACTAACCCAAATTCTGAGGCTGTTTGGTTACTGTGAAGTTTGGGCTTAGACCCATCTCCCAGACTATGACACCACTGCCAGTCATCCCCTGCACACAACAGACACAAGCCTTCTCAGATGTATTCAGAAAGAGAGGAGAGCCTTTTTAAGCAAGCTGTGCTCTGCTCCCCTGGTTTGGAAGGATGCTTGTCTAGATTAACACCACAGGAGATTGAATCAGTTTGGAAACAATTGAGAAATCTCCCAAGCCCTCACTCATTTCTAGAACGAAACTTGAACCCAACATTCTGAAGCCGGGATGGGCCCGAGACAGAACATGTGGATCCAGGGAATGTTTTATCTGGGGTTTTGGTCCAGGTCCATCTCCAGTTTTAAGGTTCTGAAATGCTCCAATATTTCCCTCCCTCCCACACACGCTCTTGTGGTTTCTGAACACTGAAGTCAATGGGAGCTTTGTCATTGATTTAAACAGGGCCAGGATTTCATGCCTTATATCCAAGTGAATTCCAAAATCCTCTGAGGGTGGGGTGGAGCTATCCAAATCTATCCTACCTTAGAACAGTACCTGTTCCATAGGGGATTGCAGCAGCAAAGCTAGGACATTTCTTGTTTCTTGTAAGACAAGGAACTCAGGCACTTAAAGTGGGAAAGAATGTCTCCAGCATTCTCTTTCCAAGGCTAGTAGTTCACAGCCTCCTGATAACACTGCCCATAGGGACCCTATTGGGCCATTTGTGTGAATAAATCTGAGCACTGAATTGCAGGAAGTGACACACACCTGGAATCAGGAGATAGACAGCTGGTGCTGGGGCTCAGGAAGACCTGGAGTAAAAGGAGCAATGAGGAGAATGACCTCAGAGATGCCTATAATCTGACTGATGGCCGAGCTTTCCTGCTAAAGGACCCAACTACGAAAAAGGTGACTGATAAGCTAACACTCAGACAGACTGGCAAAGCTGTGATGACAGGGCTGAGACAGCAAGGGGAGCAACCATCAGCCAAATGCTAGGGGATCAAAGTGAGGTTTTGGAGACTGTACAAAATTAGGGACTGAGAAAAATCTGCTGAGAAATGGGAGTCAATAAGAGCTGTGGGTGCTCAGCACCAGGCCTGAAATGAGGACATCAATACACTTTATCTGTGGCTTGGAATGTGGTGGTGTAACAACAAGCCTCCAGCCCAAATTCAAACCCAACCCATGCTGATGTGACACCCTTGTGAAGTCAAAGAAACTCTGGGCGGGTGTTTTTCCTCTTCAGCGCTTTTCCATTGTTTATGGCATCTCTGCACTTTCAGGTTCTGGTGGGGATCAGAAGTGCTGGGATGCTGGGCGAGAGGCTGTAATCGCAGTGTTACAGCTTCACAGGAGAGAGAAAGCAGTGGGAATCTTACAGGAAAGTGCCTGTAGGAAGTTTCCAGCCCAAAGTTGCACACCTAAGTGGTTCAGATTGTTTGCATGAGCTTCAGAGACACATTCAAGGCTTGATCCTGAAAGGTGCTGCATGCTCTGGCCCTAACCCAGCAAAGCATTTAAGCACAACCTTAACATTAAGCGCATGAGAAACCCTTGTGATTTCAGTGGGGTGCAGGATCAAGCTCTCACAATTTAGGTGCCTATTGAAACAGAACTGTTCGGAGATCCTACTATTATTGACATGTGGATTCCATTAAAACACAATCAGCATTTTCCACACCACCACGTTTCACCTTTCTACTGTCTCCATGGGATACTCAGCAATCAGAATGGGAAATGCAGCATTAAATGTAACTGCAGGTGGTAAATGCTGATCTTCGTCAGTCACCCGAAAGTACTTCATCCTCAATCTAAGTGAAAGTAAAGCGAAAAATCAGAGCTAGGATACACTTACGTTATTGTAGTTATGTCAGCAGGGCCTGGTAGAGCCATCCAAGATGTGCTAGGCGCTGTATACTTGAGCTTACAGTCCTAATAGACATGAAAGACAAAGGGTGGGAGTAAGGAAGGCGTATGATCCCCATTTTACTGATGGAGGACAGAGAGATGGATTGACTTGATCATGATGAAGCAGGGAGTGTGTGGCAGAGCTGGGGAACTGAGCCCAGGCTAGTGCCCTTTCCACAAGATCAGCCCTCGCTCCGGCTAATTCTGATTTTTCTTTTGCCTTTGTTTTCAGAGGGCTGACCTCGGTAAGAGTATCCCAGTAAGTACTGACGTCGTTACATGTATTTCCCTTCCACATAGTATTTCTAATATCAGTATTTATTATGCGTGTTATCAATCATAGTACCTAGCAGCCCCAGTCATGACCCAGGAGCCCATGGTGCTAGGTGCCGTACACACACAGAACAAAAAAGACGATCCTTGTCCCCAAAAGTTTACAGCCTAGTAATAGAGCCAATAGTGCCACAGTCCCATCTGCTGATTGTTACCCCTTCTGAGTGTTCTTCACTGGAGTTGCCTCAGCCGTCCTCCATCCTCACTACAGATAACACAGTTGCCCAATGCATCCTTCACAAGGAAAGAGATTGAACAATTTGTATTGGGTCTTTCTTTAATGTAGACAGTGTAAGCTTTTCTGAGCAGAGGCTATCATATACTCTATGTTTGTACAGTGTCTAACACAATGGGACCCCAACCTAGCTGAGGTCTTCAGACCCTACTACAATATAGCAATGGTGATTTGCTATTTTAGCTATTATCCTGGCCTCACTTAAAAAAAGTTAACTTGGTATCAGTTAAACTAATATTTCAATCTTCATCTGAACCTACGACAGATGGTATGAAACTTAGTAGACCCTGAATAAGCTTAACAGTGATAAAGTCTCCTCTCCTGAACTTGTTGTGCAACACTGGTATGTGCTGGTGAATAGTTGTCTGATTCCACTCCAGAGGTGGCTGCAATTCAGTGCTTTCTGCACTCTATTACATAGCATATTAAAGCACTTCAGGAGTCTTTCAATTAACATGGGAAACATTTTTCTTCTCTTTCAAAGGTTTCCTAGCAATGGCTCTGGGAATTTTATAACAAGGTGGTGTTGGACATCAAGGCTTTTGAAACAGGAGTAACAAAAGGGGTACCCCATGAGAACTTAGGATGAGTTCAGCCCCAGATGGAACATTAGAAAACTGTTAACAAGAGGCCTTGATTTGTTAAAAATAAAAACAGATTGTAATAAGCATTTAGAAATGAAGTTTTGAATTGGCGTGGGTTGCTGATATGAAAGGAAAAAAATCTGGGCCTGATTCTCATCTCATTTACATCAGTATAAACCAAGAGCAGTTCTACTGAAACCAGTTGAGTTACACCAGTGTAACCAACACTAGGGTAAATGAGACAGGAGTCAGGCTGTGATTTTTAGGATGATTTTTTTTGTAAAGCCTCCCTGGGTAGGTGTAAGTGGGCAAGGAACCAAATCAGTTGAACTATTTTTGTCCTTCAGAGAGTTAAACAATGAGGTGAAATGTGCCTTAAGGCAGCTCCCCAGCACCACCCACCAACCACCAACTACCTTTCACTCTCTAAAACATTAACTTGGAAAGATCTATCATGGGCACAGCAATGTAACTGGGGGAAAATGGCAGTAGTAGAAATTTATTGGAGGCTACAGGAACCTCTACCTCCATGTCATGTTCAAGCCACACTACATAATGGTCATAACTGCAGACTGAATACCAAGGGGGGGGAAATTGCTAACTCTAAAGTCTGTGGAATAATCTCCAAAGGACTATTATAAATCAATTTGTTTGACCTGAAACTAGACAACTAATTTTTTTGAAAAAAGAATAGTCCTGTATTGGCACCAAGAGGGACAATAACTCTGATGTTCTGGCTAAGTTAGTATTTTAAGCAGAAATCTCCCCTCTAAATCAGTCATCCTGGAAGCACCCTTTAGTACTGCCCACTGGACAGGGAATTTTCTCTAGGTATCAGCCTAAGTTGTGGTTTGGTTTGCACTGCCCAGGATGAAAGCCACGCTTGGGGCAGAATGAGGGATCTCATGAAGAAGACCAGGCTGAGGAACCAGAGCAAGTTGGGACTGTCATCGGCAGCTCTGAAGAGGTCCTGCCCACAGCTCTACAGGTAGTACCTGCCAGGACTGGGATGTTCATGAGAGTCTTTAGTTTGTAATTGAGAGGATGCAGTGAGGGGGCTTAATGAAGATTTCTCTATGACTGCTCATGGCAGGAGAGTACTTTTCTGAACCTGACAACTCCCTCCTCATCTCTAGCCATTGCAGTTTGCTGCTAGTTCTGGTAAAGGTACAAGTTATTTGTGTCTTCTCTTGTCCAGCCAATTTAAATTTCCACCTGGCCTGTAAAGATTTCCTGCTGTGCCGTGTGAATGCCATTGGATAACATTGAAGTGCTGTAAAAAAGATCCTTTTCCCTAACATGGCAGAGGAACCTTCGGACTCCTGGACAGTCCACCTGAGACATCCAGCGCGTAACTGGCCAGGGCCAATTCAAATCCAGCCCATACACCAATTTTTATTCCAAATCCTTTTGAGCTATATGCTGCCTTCAATCCCCCGATGCGTCTCCATTCAAGGGGAATGGTAACCCCATGTTGTACCCAATCTAGTTCAGAGATGCAGAGTGGAAAAATCAGAATTGGTGTAAAGATTTCCATTCAACTGAGCAGCAGATAATCATTTGCTGACTATGTGTATACTTGGATGGTTTCTATTCATCGTTATGGTTGGGTAATTGGGCAGAAAGCAGAGCATCCCACCTCTGCTAGGTAACCTATGCTGGTCCCTTGGATGGACACTAATAACACATTCACTTTATATTACATGGCCTATCTCTACATATCACCATGCAGTATGGGTGAGTCAAATACTATGGGTACGTATACAGTATGAAATTAATTCGAAATTATTCTATTCGAATTTTCTGAAGCAATTTTGTACATTCAGTGTTGTGTGTCCCCACTAAAGCACGTGAATTTGGCGGAGTGCATCCACAGTACCGAGGCTAACATCGAATGTCGGAATGGTGCACTGTGGGTAGCTATCCCACAGTTCCCGAAGTCCCCACCGCCCACTGGAATTCTGGGTTAAGCTCCCAGTGCATGATGGGGCAAAAAAATTCTCGTGGGTGTTTCCGGGTGTGTGTCGTCACTCGCTCCTCCCTCCGTGAAAGCTACGGCAGATGCCATACTGCCAGCAGATGGTGCAGTGCGGTGCACCATCTGTCTTCTGGTACTATGAATCCACCTCGCATGTCCTCTTGTGTTTCTATCTACTCTTTTATCTAACCATTTCCCGCCTTTTTTCGGCCACCATGAACCGAGCAGCACAGTTTCCTCTGCTCTCCCACTCTTGCAGCACTTGCTAATTTCTCCATGTTGTCTATCCTGGGCTCCTGTGGAAACTACAGAAGGCAACAATTTCCCGCTGTTTTTTGGCCATCGTGAACTAAGCCACACAGCTTCCGCCGCAAACTCTGCTCTCCCGCACTTGCAGCTCTAGAGAGCTTCCCACCTCCGTGAAAGCTACAGAAGACAACCATTTACTGCCTTTTATCGGCCATCTTGAATCGAACAGCTCTCCTATGTTTTGCGCCCTTTTTCCAGGATTACCCGTGCAGGGCGCCATAGCGTGGTAAGCATGGAGCCCGCTCAGATCTCCGCTGCAGTTTTGACCATTGTAAATACCTCGCGCATTATCCAGCAGTATGTGCAGTACCTGCAAAACCCAGGAAGCGACGAAAACGCGATTACTATACTGATGAGGACATGGACACAGACGTTCCTAGAAGCACGACATTTGGCGATTGGGAGATCATGGTGGCATTGGGCCAGGTTCATGCCGTGGAACGCCAATTCTGGGCCCAGGAAACAAGCACAGACTGGTGGGACCGCATAGTGTTGCAGATCTGGGATGATTCCCAGTGGCTGCGAAACTTTCGTATGCGTAGGGCCACTTTCATGGAACTTTGTGACTTGCTGTCCTCTGCCCTGAAGCGCAAAGACACCAAAATGAGAGCAGCCCTCACAGTTGAGAAGCAAGTGGCCATAGCACTGGAAGCTTGCAATGCCCGACAGCTACCAATCAGTCGGGAATCAGTTTGGAGTGGGCAAATCTACTGTGGGGGCTGCTGTGCTGCAAGTAGCCAAGGCAATCATTGACCTGCTGCTATTAAGGATAGTGACTTTGGGAAATGTGCAGACCATTGTGGATGGCTTCAATGCACTGGGGTTCCCTAACTGCAGTGGGGAGATAGACAGAACGCATATCCCTATCTTGGCCCCGGCACACCGGGGCGGCCAGTACATAAACTGTACTTTTCCATGGTGCTTCAAGCACTGGTGGATCACAAGGGACGTTTCACTGACATCAACGTGGGATGGCCAGGAAAGATGCATGACGCACGCATCTTCAGGAATTCTGGTCTGTTTGAACAGCTGCAGGAAGGGACTTACTTCCCAGACCAGAAAATTACTGTTGGGGATGTTGAAATGCCTACAGTTATCCTTGGGGACCCAGCCTACCCCTTAATGCCATGACTCATGAAGCCGTACACAGGCACCCTGGACAGTAGTAAGGAGCAGTTCGACTATAGGCTGAGCAAGTGCAGAATGGTGGTAGAATGTGCTTTTGGACATTTGAAAGCGCCCTGGCGCAGTTTACTGACTCGGTTAGATCTCAGCAATATTCCAATTGTAATTGCTGCTTGTTGTGTGCACCACAATATCTGTGAGAGTAAGGGGGAGCCATTTATGGCGGGGTGGGAGGTTGAGGCAACTCGCCTGGTGGCCAATTTCGCACAGCCAGACACCAGGGCGGTTAGAAGAGTACAGGAGGGCGCGCTGGGCATCAGAGAAGCTTTGAAAACCAGTTTCATGACTGGCCAGGCTACGGTGTGACAGTTGTGTTTGTTTCTCTTGAAGTTACCTGCCCCCTATATATATATGAAAGGAAATAAAGTCACAGTTGTTTAAAAACCCTTTTTTATTATTTGTTGCAAAATACATTGAGAGAAATCAGAAGGTAGAGGGGGGAGGGGGAAATTGGGTTAGGGGGGTGGAGGAGGAGGGAAGGACAAGTCCAGAAACCAAATCAAAAGTTTGCATATGCCAACTTTCTGCTGCCTGGGCGATCCTCTGGGTTGAGTGTGTGGGTCCTTGTAGCCTCCCCACTCACGTTCTTGGGCGTCTGGGTGAGGAGGCTATGGAACTTGGGGAGGAGGGAGGGCAGTTATACAGGGGCTGCAGCGGCAGTCTGTGGTCTTGCTGCCTTTCCTGCATTTGATCCACCGTACAGCGGAGCATGTCAGTTTGCTCCCCCATGAGCTTGACCATAGCGTCCTGCCTGCTCTCATCGCGCGCGTCCCTCCTCTCTTTGTGTTCCTGTAATGCTTTACGGGACTCCGCAATTGTTTGCCTCCACACATTCAGCAGGGCTCTATCAGTGCGGGAGGACTGCATGAGCTCGGCGAACATGTCGTCCCAAGTTCGTTTTTTCCGCCTTCTAATCTGGACCAGCCTCTGAGACGGAGTAGATAGGGGCCAAGTTGAAACATTTGCACCTGCGGGAGGACAAAAAGGGAGGGTAGTATTTTAAAAGATACATTTCATCATGAAACAGGCAATTCATAGTACACAGCACATGTTCTTTCTGTACAAGTTAGCATTTTGCCTCTTATACTGAAGTGCCTGCCACTTTGGTGTGAGTATGCCATCACACATGGGCAACAGAATTCAGCTTGCAGGCAGTCTAGGGGCACGCGGGGTTCTGCTTCTTCCACATTCATTTCAATGCTTTCAAACTGCTGGGCCCCCTTTCCCATAGCAAGCAATGCCTGGTGGGTTTGCCATATAAAAGGAGGGTCTGTGGGCTCTCTGGGATGATCGCTTCACACAACACCCCCCTCCCACCCCCTGCACCCTCCGTGTGGCTCCGATGAGCCTCTGAGCAGGGATAAGCCCTTTAAACTAAACGCGAACAGCCCAGTGCGGCTGGGTTTCACCCCCCACCGCGTGGCTCCCATCAGGCTCTCACTCACCAGAAATACCTTCTCCAGGGTCATGGTCCGGGAGCCCACCTTGGGAGTGGTAGGAGGCTATTGGCTCCAGCGTTAAGAATAGTTCCTGGCTAGGGAGGAAAACGGATTCCCTACTTACCGCCTGTGCACTGTCCTCCTCCTCCTCCTCCTCTTCGTCCTCCAATAACTCATCCTCCTCACTCCATGCAACTCCCCCCTTGCAGGTGTCCACGGACAGTGGTGGGGTAGTGGTGGTGTCACCCCACATAATTGCATGCAGCTCACAGTAGAAGCGGAATGTATGGGGCTGTAACTCAGAGCACCCGTTCGCCTCCCTGTCTTTTTGGTACGCTTGCTTAGCTCCTTGATTTTTGTATGACACTGCTCTGTGTCCCTGGAGTAGCCTCTTTCTGTCATGGCCCTGCAGACTTTAGCGTACATATTTGCATTCCTTTTTTTGGAACGTAGTTCTGCCATAACAGATTCATCTCCCCAACATGCGATGAGATCCAGTACCTCCCATTCGGACCATGCTGGAGCTCATCTGCGAATCCGGGACTGCGTGATCTCCTGTGATGGTGGACTCTGCATGGTCACCTGTGATGGTGACTGTGCTGATGGTCACCTTTGCTGATGGTGACCAAACAGGCAATGAAATTCAAAAGGTCCCGGGGCTTTTCCTGCTCACTTGGCTAGTGCATCGGAGTTGAGAGTGTTGTCCAGAGCGGTCACAAGGAAGCATTCTGGGACAGCTCCCGGAGGCCAATAACCTTGAATTGTGTCCACAATACCTTTAACCCGGGATTGCGATCTCGATTTAAGTGCTACTCCTCTTGCCGAGGTGGAGTACGGAAATCGGATTAAAGAGCCCTTTAAATAGAAAAAAACAGTTTAATCGTGTGGACGGAATCTTTTTTTTTTTTAATTAACTCGGCTAATTCCGAAATAACTGACTAGTGTAGACCAGGCCTATGACACCACTGCCAGTCATCCTCTGCATGGATGTTCCTTTAGTTATCCAAGCTCTCTCATCTGTTTTAATGAATATCTGTTGCTTTGTGTATATAACTGGGTAACAGGAAAAGCCTGGATATCTTACTCACAAGGGTGGGAGGATTACATGGCACAGTGCAACCTTCCCATGTTTTTTCAGCTGGGGACTCAGTAGTATTGACAGCAATTGTTGCAAAGAATGCAGGCTATTTTCAATTTTCAGCTGGCAGAACAGCTGTTTAACTCAGGAATGTCCCAGTGTTCTGGGAGGTAGGGTGCACCTACATTATGAAGACACATTTGAATTAGGATCCATGTAGTTACAGCTGGAAAATCCTCTAATGGTTCACAGAATGGCTTTCCCAGCTGGAAAAAACTTGGTGTGGGACCAAATCCACGTAACAGGCAAGCTTCCTGCTATTGTTTGGGAAACCGAAACAAATACAAAGCAGGAAGAAATCAAACAGCTTCAGCTAAAGTATGTGGCATGGGCAAATCAGCCAGGGAGAAAACACAACCCATCCTGAACCTTCACTCCAAGCTTGTATTGGACCCAAACTGCATTTAGGGTTCAAAAGAGTTCTGGCTACATCTGTCTCTTTCTGACTGTAAGATCCTACCTGGTCTTTGGCCTGCTCTGTGCAGTGCTGAGAATAACACCAGTGCTCCATAAATAAGAATTATGCTGGTGTACTTCAGCATAGCTCCACTGAAGGCAATGGGAGCAGCTGAGGACTGGGTCCCATAGTTCTTTATACAATTGTTTTATCACTGCTGCACTTACTGGTTTCAGCTGGGACCCAGTGGAAATGCTGGGATACCTCAAGAACAGACAGTATGTCTCATCTGGATAGAACTGGGAAGCACCAGAAATATGTTGATTTTCCACTCCTGTTCCTTCCATTAAATCCCTCTCCCCACTCCAAGCCCACTGTTGACCCCTTTCCTCCCCATTTCCAGCTCCCCATCCACTCTCAGTCCTTCACCCCCACTTCTCCTCACCATACTCACACAGCTCTCCTGCGCTCTTTGGGGATGCACTTCCTGCAGCCACTGATGGAGGCAGTGACATGGCTCAGCAAGAAGAGATGGCTAGGCTAGATTCAGCAGCAAAGGCAAAGCACCCCCTCCTGGTGGAAGAGCAGGGTTTATGCCTGACCAGCATTTACGAACAACAAAGTATTTTTATATTTTTAAAATCTGGGGACTATGGCTCTTTTACAAACGCCTGGGGTTTGGCCCCAGCCCAATCTCCACTGGGACCACAGCTATGGGAAATGGAGCATTAGACCTTTATCCCATTTGTAAATACAGTGAAACTGTAATGATCTAATCTTCACTTATCCTAACTTCCCCAGCATCTGAAATAGGGTCAAGTCTCCTGTGATATTGAACTGAAGTAAGCTAGACCTTAATTTCCTCCAGGACCGCAAGCTCGTGCTTGGGGCAGCAGATTCTATGGGGCGGCATTCCGCCCAATCCTAGGGCGGCACGGCCGCTTTTTTTGTTTTTGTTTGTTTGTTTTGTTTGCCGATCCAGCCGCCCTGTAGGGGGCGGTGGCACAGAGGAGGGGAGCGCCCTGCTGGGAGTGGGCTGCACACTCCGTCTGCCCCAGCCGGTGCCAGGTCTGTAGCAAGCCCGGCAGGGCAGCCCGCGTCCTTCCCCCCCCCTGACCGGAGCGGCGTGGAGCCCTCCCGGCAGGCGGCGCAGCAGTCAGGGCCATGTGGCGAGTGCCCCGCTGAAGCCCTGGCCACCCACCTTCTCTCTCTCCCCCCTCTCCCCCCGCTAGCTGGGGCACATCTGCAGTGCAGGGAGTCCCCGTGCACAGTGGCTCCAGCCACCCAGCAGGGTT